ATATTATAGTAGATTATAGTATATTATAGTATAGTATAGTATAGTATATTATAGTATATTCTAGTATATTCTAGTATATTATAATAGTATATAGTAGTATATTAGAGTATATTATAGTATATTAAATATTATGGTATACTATAGTATACTATAGTGAGCCTTGCTACCGGAACCCTGGAAGCTGTTCTTTGATACGAACTTGCTGGGCAGCGCGACACCCGAATCTGAACTCTTGCGCTTCTCGTGCGCCCGATCCTTCAGAGTGTGAGGGTCGTCCCGGCCGAAGGAGATGTGGTATTGATCCACCAGGTTCTTCAGCATCTGCTCAGAATCGGTGAGACGCCCCTGGCGACGGATGACCTTGAGGAGCTCAGGGGTTCACTACCTGTAGTCTCCATTGTAGTTCCTTTTTAAGGATACCTTATAAAATCCTGAATATATAATTGGTTAAACCCAAAAAAGGAACTACAATGGAGACTATAGGTACTAATGCTATTTAGACCGGCCATCGTAGGCTTCAGGGCTTTGTAGAGTTCAGGCCCACAGAGGCCGAAGAAGGGTTGCGTATGCTTACCGCTGTGTTTTTCTCATTAGGATTCTTATCTCCTTGTTGTTACTGCTATTGCTATTCTTTAGAGTAATGGGATTATACACATGAATAGGACCTACAGCGGAAGGCCATGTTGCAAGAAAGGAGCTCAAACAAATGGCGGCGAGAAGCGCAACAAACATGCTTCAGCATGACCCAGAAGGATCTTAAGACCAATAATCAGAATACTCCTGGCCGTCACAATCGAAATGATGACAACACTAAACAAAATTATGGTGTTGGTAATAATCTTAACAGCAGCAATAACAACAGTCATAAGATTAATGCTAAAAAATGACAACAGCAATCATCGTACTACTAATTAGTAAAAGCACAGCTAGTAATAATGTATAATGTGGCGTGAGTTAACTACGCGGCCCTCTGGAATGCGCTTTGGCTGAAAAAGTATTTGTCAATTCTCGGAAGTGTCTAATGCTCAGCTGGTCTAGAGAAAGAAGACGAGGCCGCAGTAGCCATCTTAAAAGGATAGGAATTTTGTTTTCGAGGTTTTTCGGGCCTGAACAGCCTTAGACCTTCCTACATCCCCTTTTTGCATCTGGTTTGCAGCGACTCAACCAGGACGGAAACAACATCCCCTAAACTCCTAAACCCACCACTGCCTACTGTACTGTACTGTACCATACGACGTACAACCCCCGCACCTCTCTTCAAACCTTTATGTTTTATATCTCCCAAAACCGTGTCGCGACTATCTTTCTCTCAAGCCCCACTACCCCCACAGAGGCGACCGGCCNNCCCCCCCCCCCCCCCGCCACAAAATCCAGTGCCACATTCATAGTCACAACAATAACAGAAGAAAAATACTCATCGGTAGAATAACTCGTTACAAACGAGCGGCATCCGCGAGGTTTGCCTTGGCTCGCAACGTGTTGGAGTGCTGCGGCCCAAGGGTGCGCTCGCGCACCTCGAGCACCTGAATTGGGGTTTACAGGCTTAAAAAACAGTTAACCTGTGCAGGGCTTGAGTTTTTTGGTGCTTGCAGGGCAGGGCCTGGATTTGAGCGCTACAGGCTTCAGGAAGCAATCTTGCACCTGGAGCCCCTAACTTACCGATGAAGTACATTTATCTTTGTACACGATGGTATATAGTTAAGAATCGCAGTCGCGCAGGAAAACTGCAATGCTTGCAGTCATCTATCTATCCATCCATCGCTCTGGCGATCCAGCTATACACACAAAAAAAGTTGCAGCGTAGTCAGCACCTGCTTGTACATGGTCTCACTTTCCTCGAGGTTGCCCATCTTGGCCCGCAGCGCTGCGAGGTTGAACTTGGAGGATGTGACATCCCCGTGCTCGGCCCCGAATTTCGTCTCGAACTGCTTACAAACCTCGATGTGCATCTTCCTGAGCTTTCGAGTAGCCATTCAACACAAGGTTGATTAGACGAGCTTGGGTGGCTTTGACAAGCAACCGGGTGACAAAAACAGAAAAATGACTGAGCAGCTCAGTGTCTCGGCCTCTTGGAATTGCTGGCACTCCTCTAGGAGCACGGCAAAGTTGTTCTTGGCCTGCAGCGTGCACTGATGGTCCTCGCCCACATCTTTATTGAATTGCTCGATGCACTGGCGGTACATCTCCATGGCGGCCGTGGTGAAGCCCTTCTCGTGAAGCTTGACTGCCGCCTTGTGTGCTTCTGCCAGCCATTCATTCTGCCCCGAGGTGAGTAGGGCTTTACCTGCCGCCTGGTTCGCAGGAAGGCAGATCCACTGATTGTCGCAACTAGCACGCTCCCAGAAGCGGGCCACGATGTTGTGAACATGCACCGCCAAGGAGGTGTCATTGCGATGCGCGCACCACACCTGCAGGAGCTGTTGTATGGCGCCTCGCTCCGTGAGTACATCCAAGCCTTTCTCTTGGCAGGCGATGCGCTCGGCGGCCTTAGCAGCGGAGCGGCAGACCTCGCGATCCCCGGAGAAAAGCTCCAACATGAGGGTCACTTCCGGTGCCTTGGTCCAATCACCAGCACCCACGGACTCAATCATGGTAAGGGCGGTGATCCGAATCCGACTTTGGTCTGTCTTCTCCTTCTTCACCTCCTTGGGTTTCGCTGTGTCCTCTTTAGGCTTTGGCGCCCTTTGCTTCGGCTCCTCATAGTGGATCTCGCAGCAGTCTCCCATGTCTACCAAAGTTGACTTGCACCTGAGACGAACTGCTTGCGCCTTGAGCCGCGCAGCGACAAGCGTCTTTACTCCATGTCCTATAGGGATGACGATATAAATCCTGCATTACCTTTTGGGGCCCTAAACTATGGGAATTATGGCATATTCCTTCTTATGGCATATTCCTTCTTATGGGTAATGCAGGATTTCTATCAACCCTAGGGATGACATGCTGACATGACTGCGCCACGTCCTCCACCACCATGGGTGGCATGAGAGTGCTCGCGATTGCATCGATGCGCTGCCGCCTGGGTGGACATATATAACGGCTAACACCAGAACTAAGAGGGCTAAGTGGGGAAGATCCTAGAGATGCTTATATAAGGTGAGTTCTGTAGGTAGTACTGTAAGTGGTCGTTCATCGAAACTTGGCGCATCGGATGGGTTCGTCCCGTCTTCAACTGTCGACTTGGAATACGCTGCCGTCGGACTGATGAATCTGGGTTTGGTCCCCATACCAGCCGTTTTTGTCAACTCAGGGCACATGCCAACAAAGCTGTGGAGGTGGTGTCCAGCATCCCAGCCTCTCTGTGCAATGGAATTAGCAAACTATTCTGTCTCAAGCGCTGCGGCGTAGTGACGCATTCGGAAAAAGGCAAACACATGCATGCAAACTCTCTTCAACCATGGTTGTCTTGTTCAATAGCCCCAAATGCGGAATGAACACCCTAAATCATCCTGTGGTGGACGATGATGACTATGATTGAGAAAAGACAACCCGATCTTCAAGTCCAAAATTTGGAAAGAATTGGTGAGGATGAAGGCGGCGACACCGCAGACAGGACTTGCTAGTTCCCCTGTCCGACTGGCATTGCTGTACACAAAGGTCACATTCCTCAGCGTCTCTGGATGCTGCTTTTTTAGATGTCTTTGCGACGATGTATATTGGTAGAATTACCGGCTAGATCGCATGATGCACCCGGCGATGCACAGAGCAGTATCTCATGGTAGGTGAATTGTATGTTCAATCACGGCATTGTGTGCCTGCTGCTTCAACTCCTGAACACCCTCAGCAACGTGTTGCTTGACATACCCGGGGTAATTGCACCATGCCAGTGATGCACCGATGCCCTGGACCATGTCAAAAAGTCCTGTGACAGTCGCTGCAAGGCGGGATGAACATGCCATGGGAACCAAGGTTGTTCTCCCACAGCCGCTGGCAGCACCAGACAAATATGTCGCCACCTGCCCCAGATCAGCGAGCAACGAAGCAATGTTCTCCGTGCAAACATAGCGCTCGTAGGTTGTCGGAAACTTTGGGCAGACACCTGGCTCCGTTGCGAGAGAATTGAGCTGGTAGGCAACCTTGACGATGTAGTCAATGGCCTGCCCGATGTTGTTTAGGCAAGCTGCAAGGTTTTGTGGCGCCCGATCGGGGTCAATCTCCTTGGAGTAGGGAATGTCACCGTTGGTGGGGTCTGCGCACTGCACAGCTATATCGCTGAGGGCAGAGGCGGACTTCGTTGCGCCAGATGTCAGCACGCTGATGCCCATGCTGCATCTCGCTGGATATTCGGAACCTCTAGGAATGTCGTTCGGCGCTGGGCAACTGGTGACTGTATCGGAAACGTACTGGCTCACAGCCAAAAAACTGGAGATGATACCGTTGATTTGAGAAGCGCAGGACATCTTGGCTTCCTGAACCTAGTTCATGGTTGGGGTAGTATTAAAAATATACATTTATATTCCTTATTGGGTTTAAGTACCATTAAAAATGTAAAATGTTACCCAACTATGACAAAGGAACACTTTGGCCCTTGACAGAAGACTGAGGCACGTTGAAAGCCAAGCGTCGAGGCTCGGAGACGTCTCTGAGCCGGCGGTTGCCAGTCCAAACCTTCTCCCAGTTTGCATCTTCAGATTCGGGAGTCTGCAAGTTGCAGACATGTATAGATGCCTCCAGGGTTTAGGGTTTAGGGTTTAGAGTTTAGGGTTCAGATTCGGGAGTCTGCAAGTTGCATGTATAGATGCCTCCAGGGAGAGCAAGCGGACATCATCTTCAATGCTGCCAGCGTGACATCTGTGATACACACGCTGACACGAACGAAGACATCCTTGCGGGTCTCCCGGGTGAGGGTGATGGTGTTGTCCGTGTCGCTGTAGGAGGTTTTGTACCCCAATTTTCTGGCAATGAGCCTCGTTTCCTTCTGCTGCACGAAGAGCGGTCCGGCTGGAGGCAAAGAGACGACGTCAATCTTGTGCCGCTGAAGTTCTTCTTCTGTAAGGTTGGTAAGGAGCCGCACCTTCTGGTACAAAACTACTTTCTTCAGAACTTCCGCTTGCTCCAGAAAGGAAACTTCATCGCCGGTAGGAGTGCTCGACTGCGTCCCTAATCGGGTCCACGAAGCCAAGGCACTCCCCACCAGAAAAACAGCAAGCGCTGCTGCAATCATCCACCTGGGAGACTTGCGGATACACCACGACGGTCTCCATGCTGCCGGTGGAAGTGTTGTTTCCCCTTCCATGAGCGAAGCCTGCTCGCCTAGGTTTGGCGAAGCGCCCGACGTTGCGGGCTGCAGCATGCCTCCGGCCAAAGCTGCAAAAGGGAAAATGGGCAGCACAAGGCCTCTCCTCTCTAAACCTTCGAGCCGAAGAGAAGCTCAAGAGGCAATCTGCCAGCATGAAACTTCCTACGGGGAGATCTGGGAAGAGGCCAGGTCCCTAAAGAGGTCGCGTAGGTGTCCCGCGTGAGTTGCACCGACCTGGCTGCCAGGAACCTCGCCCGGCTGTTCCTCCGAGAAGCTTCGGGAGCTTAAGCGGCAGAACGGTTACGGGTGTAGGGGTTTGGGTTTAGGGGCTAGGGTTTAGGGGTTTAGGGTTTAGGGGTTCAGGGTTTGGGGGCATCGTGATAAACACGCCTGGTGGATATATTTATGACACACAAACACTCAATCATTAGCAACGTTGCGGCGACCGATCAAGACCCGTGGTTCTCAGGCTGATGGGACACGTTGGTAACCTGTACTTCGTGCTCGACACCTATCCAATACAATCCGAAACGTAAACCTCTTCAAGTAAGCAACCCCGGGCCATGAAAGCCCCACGTCAAGCAGTCCTTTCGGCAGTCCACGCCATCGTCGAGTTCACCAGGCTGGTGAGGACCCTCAGGACGGGCTCGGATGCCAGGAGATGCATTATATAGGGGCCTTAATAATTAGAATAGGGTTTTGGGGCTCATGATACTACAATTATAATAAGGAACCCCCAAAAGACTATAGGTTATTATTTAGGCTTTTATATTACTCCCTAACTTTGCAAACGGTAGCCCCGACAACTGCCAATCCGCATGGGCACACCCAGCAAGCACAATCGAAGAGCACTAAGCTCCCAGCAGCATCATCTTGGAGGACCCCGACAGATACAGGTTGCAAATGTCACCTGACAGGTCATGCAGTTTATGTGGAGTTTCGGACACCATCTCCAGTACCAGTGCTCGTTGCCGCACCGTCATTCCGGACAATGACCGAGGTTCAGTACTGTTCGGATATCTTCGCCGGTCACAACTGAAGCTCTACCGCTACGAAGAGGTCACTTCGGCGACACGGGCTACAGTAAAGAGATTGCGGCTGCTTCAGCATGTAGGCCCATGTGGGACTTTCCGAAAATTAGGGTACCTTATTTTGGGGTCCTTATAACAAGGATCCTATTATTAAGAGTACTATATTAGGGTCCCCTATTTTCGGAAACCCCCATGTAGGCTTGACAGAGCTCTGGTCTTGGTGTGCACGGGCGAACTGGGGCAGGCCAGGCGATCCTTCACCCAGAAGTCTACCTATAGTCTCCATTATAGTTCCTTTTGTGGTTTATCCAATTATATTTTATAAGGTATCCCCAAAAAAGGAACTACAACGGGGACTATAGGTAACTAGTGTCCACTGTTACGGGTCGGGAAGGCATGCAGACGAAGTCACACGCACACACACACGGACGGAGAGACAGACACATCTGCTCGCGCAGCCTCCCAAAGCCAAGGCCTCCGACAACCAAGAAGCCAAGGAGACTGAGAAGCCAAAGAAGTCGCAACTGCATATCCCTGCGATGCCTTCCTCGCCACAGTAGTGCTGCCAGAAAGTGACCTGGTTACCATCCACAAGCTTTTCCGCACCCATTAACATCTCTTGTAAAGGTTTGTGGTTGAGAATGTCAGCAACTTGCGACAACAAAAGTCAGAAGGGGCAATCGCGACAAGCACCATCATCTTCATTGCTGGTGAATGTTGCTGGTATGCTGATGTGCTAGACGCGATGAGGATGATGATGCTGCTGGTGGTGGCAGCCACGATGAAGACGATGGTAAATATTGTCCGCGGTTTCTGGCAGAGTTTATTGTCCGGTCATCTGGCACAGTGCATCATACTTGCAGTCACAGTGGCGCCCCTCACAGAGGGGGGCTCTCTCGAAGGCAGGTATCGCTTGGCTTCGCAGCTTCAACTCATGATGGACCGAGCAGTAACGTGAAGCCACAAGAGGACAAACAGAAACCCGCTTGACACGTAAAAGACCTGTCACACCCGAACTTCAAGTTGATAGACGCCCGCAGTAGATCAGCACCCACCAAAAAACAGGCTCCCCGCAATCACCAAGGGCACAAGCCAGAAAACCTCAGTGCTCATGGCTGGCGTTGGGCATTTCATCCACATCCATGGCCCAGGGCCCTATCCACTGACAGAAGTTTGCAAAACCCGTAGACTAGAATAACACAGTCACAGGTAAGAAAGACGTTCGCGGTAGATAATCGACACCCATCTTTAACACGCACGTTGGCACTGATCGGGTCCTGTCAGAAGCGTACAAACGGCACACATCAGCGCCGCAAGTGCTACTTCCGAAAGCTGTGAAAGGATAACAAGCTGCCAACGCTTATCACGAAGGCTCACAGATCGACCCTTGCCCGAATGAGCACCTCCTTCAGTGATCAATGCAATTGAGTCAGAAGGCTTTTGCCCAAAAGTCGCCTTCATGAAAACGCCCTAGATGACCTACGGCAATCCCAATCCTGCCTCAACACATGCCTAGACCTCAAGTCTTACGGCTGCGCTTGCTGAGTCTGAAGTCGCACTTCCTGCTATGCTCTTGGTGTCTTATATATTATTCGGGTTGAAGTCGACTTCTTTGTCGCTGTTGTTGAGTACTGCCTGCTAGCCCCCTTGTGACTATCTGAGGACCGCCACATTCGTGTGGGCAAAGCGAAATTGGTGCTGCATGGCCACCTCCGAAACAGCAGCTGCTGGGCTTGCGGTTACTTTCGGGTTTAGGATTTAGGGAATGACATTCATCGACTCCATCACTGAACCGAGTCCCTAACTGCTGTGTTTCCAAAATGGCATCAGCTTGTACAGAAGCCCAGCGGCTTCTGGCAACCAACGGAGCATGCTGTGCTGCACTCTTCCAAGTGCACTGCAGCACCAAGCTCAGATCCAGGCGAGGACGTAGACAGGAAACCTCGCAAGGGCAAGTGCCTATGCAAGTAAAGTCACGAATCTCAGTAGGGAAGCATGTCCTAAGGTCCGGACGAAGGAGGCACTAAGAGGGCATCTACGTCTTGGAGCTGTGGCGGTGAGCGTGGCTTGAAAATCAACCCTCTGGAGGCTCAGAAGTTATCCAGCACAACAAAATAAGGCTTCAGGCAAGCAAGAGGGGACTGTAAGCTTTGGGGTTCCAGAGTGTCGCCACCGGTATTCTCATAGCACGAGCGAACACCAAGATTATTCTTCGGGGTTCCTTGCGAGAACCATGGAACACAACAAACCCTATTAAAACTTATCTACTTGATTGTTCTACTATATATCCTTTAATTAAAAGACCCATTACAGAAACCCCTATTCTAAATCATAAGGCAATGGAACTGCTTCAAGCCAAGCCACATGATGAGCGAGAAGACGCTGGAGCCCCTCCTGGACAAGATCGCAAAGCGGTGCAGCTCCCCACGCCCTCAAGAGAACACCAATAATTCATTGTAGGGGACTGAATGATATGACTCGTGCTTTTGGGTATATGAACTAGTTCATTATGTAGGAACTGTAGGGGAATCATATTACCAATTTATCCGGCCCATATGTTAATAACCCTAAACGATTCCGTGCTTCCCTTGATGCCACGCCTGTGTTGCATCATGAACCTGGTCAGACTCTCCTCGTCGTAGGGCTCCCGCACCTGCTTGGCGAACAGATGTCTGATGTCTGCCATAACCTTAAACCCTAAAACCTTAAACCCTAGACCCTATAAGCCCTGAACCCTAAACCCATTTTTTACACCTGGACTGGTATCCCTAAACCCTAACTGGCTTTTTGGTACAGGACCCAGAAATCCGAAGAAGGCGACTCCGTGTCTGCAGCGAGGTGCAAGCATGACTTGGGTACCGTTTGCAACCATGTTGCCAACGGCATGCACATGGGTAGTTCTCTAAATTAGGGTTCCTTTGGGGGTCCTTTTTATAAGGGTGCCGTACTATTTTGGGGACCTAAAAAGAGACCCTAATTTTAGAAAAATACCCACATGCATAGTATAGGGGCCTTAATAATTAGACTTGGGTTTTGGGGTCCGTTATACTATAATTAGACTAAACAACCCAAGATAGTATTGGTAATCATTTAGGCTCCTATAGTATGCACAGAGTCAAAGATACATAACGCGTTGTACAACTGTAGAGTCGTCGAGCACATAGGGCTGCACTATAGCACAGAAGTGTACAAAACCTTCCAGCGTTGCAACCTCGGCTACAGCAGAGTGCGCTCGGGATGTGGCCGCCGGAAACCATGAAATGGCATCGTAGGAGATGATCGTCAGTACCTCTGTGCCGTCTTGCTGTCACTGATGATGTGTATGATTGCGATGACGATAATGCTGGTGCAGGTGGTGAAGATGCCCATGTGGTGAATGATGGTGATGGCGACAGGGATCCTGGGAATTCTGGTGGTGGCAGTGATTGTGGTGGTCATGCTGACTTTTTGCGATCGCTGCAGTTCGGCTGTAGCTGCGCTGATCTTCTTAGATTTAGGTCGGTGGGACTGCAACGTGCAATGCGGGTAGCAGTCAAGGTCTGCGCACAAAAGTCTCATGGACCTGCTGGTGTGTGGGCATACACACTGGCACAGGCAATTGCACTGCAGGTCACAGGAAGATATGACCTACGAATCCACAAACCTGTGTCTACGGATTTGGAGCTCTGCACCGCGCCAGCTCCCCAACTCAAAATGCTTCGTGTGTCCTGAGCTCACAAAGCATTCTCCCGGTTCGACTGCATCAGCGACTCGCACTTTGGGTTCTTGATGTCCATGAATCTCCTTGCTCATTCTGATCGAACACTGAAGCCACGGATGGTCGGCGTCTAGACCTTTTGGACGGCAAGGCCGCCTCTTGAAGTTGCTGCGGAAGTGGAAGCGGTCTTTGCAAAGCCTTATGAGTCTCCTCCTGTACTTCCCAGGGCCGAAGCCAGTCTTCGGAGTCTGCTTTCACTGGGAGATTCAGTCTCTTCTGGGTGCTTATTCCAGCAGATGTCCACCTTCACCTGGTACAAACTCCAGGAACTTGGCCGCTAACGCGACGTGATGGTTCATCTCGATGATTTCCTGCCGCATCTTTGACGACTGCAGTTGCTACCACAAAGATGTGCAGTGGGTTCATGATACACACTGTGAACACAATATAAGGGCCTAAACAATTACCTATACTATTTGGGGGGTTCCTTATTCCAGTTATAGTATAATAATACCACAAAACCCTATTCTACTTATGAAGGCCCCTACATTAGTTCCTCGGGCTCTATATACTCAGCCGAACAGAAGGATCCTCTGGGGCCGCAGAATCTAATGCAGCCAGTTCAAGAAATGCTGGTTTAGGGTTTAGGGTTTAGGGCTTAGGGTTTAGGGCATGCTCCAAGGAATCAGGAAGGGCTTCGTTGCACCATGTTCTAGTTGTGCACTTCACTAGATTTTAGATTGCCGCAACGATCGTCCGGCAGCAACCTCCCCACCCCCCATGAACGCTTCTGCACTCAAAACCTTCCATCTTTACTGCAGGACTGCCTCGATGAGCAACCATCCATGACTCCCAAAGCCTAAACGTAGGCTCAAACGCTGCAGCAGGCCACGCACCTTGCCATGCGCGTGGCACAAAGCAGCCAGCAGGCGTCTAGCATGATGGTGATCTGCCTGAGCTGCAGGGTGCAACGATAGCCATTGAAGAGCTTTCAATGTCGGCTTCAGAGTCTTCAGAGTCTGCCTTTCACGTGGCTTTCTTAACTTTTGGGCTGCCGTCTGGTGCTCTTCAAGCCAGACGGCATGCAAAGGCTGACAGTTTGGCTCCGTGGCAGCATGCTCGAATGACAAGATATTCTGCAATGTTATGCGTAAAATCTTGCACCACAGCTCTGAACTTGTGCCCATCTCGTACAAATGAAAAGCAATGCCCCATCTTTCCCTGAGAATTGCAGGGCTTTGCTACCACTCGGAGTATGGAGCCAGTGACCGCGATCTCTGCGAGCTGTCTGGTTGCCTGGATCAAGCCATAGACTTATTGAACAGGAGCAGATGTCCTCAATTTACATGCCTATAGATGTGCATCTGCTTCTGCAGGAGGCAGAAATCTTGGGAATATGCTACACCCGGAGGGATATACCGTTCTCCTGCTTGTGAATGTAGACCGCCAAAGATTAAAGCACAAGATGCAACACAGGCGGTGTGCACATAGAGGTTCCCAAAAATAGGGGACCCTAATATAGTACCAAATAGTAGTAGGATCCATATTATAAGGACCCCAAAATAAGGTACCCCCTATAATCGGAAACCCCCACATGGACTCGTGGTGGGTTGATAGCCCAATGGCAGGGACTGAGTGCGGAGACAGCATCAACACTTAGTGACATCAGATGTTTATGATTTCGGCAGCGGTCCGTATGTCCGTCATGAGCTGCAATGAGACATCATACATATACATCTGTACCCCCTATCTATATATATATATACACATGTGTGCACCGTCAAAAACCAAGAGAAATATCTAAATGCTACGCCGCTTCTGTGAGCTTATGCGAAACTTGTCCTGTCTGCCTCCAGAATCGTAAACTACGATCGTCTTCCTGAACATTGCGAACTTTGGCAGTCAACTCTTGCCATTTGGAGTGTCTGGGCAGGGCTTATATGGTGCAACCCGCATGCAAATACAGAAACACAGATCAAGCTGCGGTGTCGATTTGGGAGTTTCCAAAAATAGGGGACCTTGATATGGTACCTTAATTTGTAGGATCCTTATTATAAGGACCCCAAAATAAGGTACCCTAATTATCCGAAACTCCCATTTCTGAGGAGCCTGGGCGAGTATCCTTCGTTGGAGCATCTCATTCTTGAAGTCCGCGCGTACGAAAGCAATAGCCTGGGGTTTGCAGCTTGGAATGCCGTCGCAAAGCTGGGTTTCTGGGTTGGGGTTTAGGATTTACATAGGGTTTAGGTGACAGACCCCATGCCCCATACTATTCCCCATAAAATGAATATACCTGGCCTTGCCGGAAGTTACATCACCTGAGAAATAGGATAAGTAAAGTACTTTGACAGATATTGGGCTACTACTTGTGATTATGGAGCTATAGATGGTTCACGGTGATGTAACTACCCAAAACGGGCATGCCCTAAGCTATCTAGATGATCCCAGGTCCAAGGCCGTGACCAAGTCTGCCAGGTTGGAAACTTCGCACTGTCCTTGGTAACCATGGATTTGAATCCACGATACACGCTCTGGACACAACGCTGAGAGGCAGCTCCAGTCCACGGCATGCAGATAAGGGGGCTTGTGGGGCAAGCGAACAATCCTAAGAAAAACATCAACATGCTGGCTCTCAACTGCCTCCAATCAAAGCGGTAATGTAGAGGCCTTAATGATAAGAATAGGGTTTGGTGTATATTCTACTATTATTAGAATAAGGAACCGCCCCAAAATAGTATTGGTAATTAATTATTTAGGCCCTTGTAGTAGCTTGAAGCGAGGGCACTGAACCCTCCAAACATGTCAACGAATCTGAGTGTTTTGTCAAGGAAGACTATGCTAGGGCACTTCAAATCACTGTTGCATTTTCATGTCGCAACAATACCCTAAACCCGAAACCCATGCCACTTCCCACAGAAGGAGCCGCCCTGAGAACGGCCTCCAAGACAAAGCCAGGATTGAACTTGTCCTAATTAGATGATCTATAAAACTAATATAGCAAAATACTCAATAAAACATGAAATAAAGTATAGTGATAGTAAAGTGTAGTACAGTCCAAACGTCTCCAATGAAAAACCTGCTGCTGAGCCCAACAAAAACGGTCCCATGCTTGCCACGAGCGCCCTGGAGCTCCAGTAAGGCAGAGGCGGCGGCAGCAAGAGCTCGGTTCCTGGCCGGTTTAGGGTTTAGGGTTTAGGGTTTAGGGCCTGGCCGTGTGGGTTTCGGGTTTAGGTGTTTGGGGTTTCTTTTTCCCACCCGCCCAGCTGACCAAGTCGCACCGCAGGGAGTTTCTTCGGACGTTGTTTGGGGTTTAGGGTTTAGGTGTCCTTCGGATTGGAGACTCAGAGACAAGGTGGGAGAACCTACCAGGACCTATTCTCACCTTCTGAGCGGGTTTGAACGAAAGGGCACCCTGAAATGCATCCAAGACTCTTGAGATCATCCGGCATCACCCACGGTGTTTTGGGTCCTCTCGCTGATTCGTCATCGAAACCTAATTACCTCCAGTTTGATACGTCTGGGTGTACGATGAGTGTGCCTGCAGCTCAAAATGAAGTATTGAGCGGGACCGCTGTCTGCAGCTCCTGTGCCCCTCGCCCAGAAGTGGTTCGAGGATGAGGCAAAGGCTTGCTTTTCTTCGGCTTGGTGCGTTCAGCGAATAATTCCTTCGTGCAGGAGTTTCTGCTGCTTTCTGCACAGCCCCCTATCGAAGTTTCCGCACAGACCCCTATCAAATAGTAGCCTGCTGTCCCGTCCTGCGCAAAGGTCGGCAAAGAGCAGGGCGAGGATAGATATATGATAGGCCTCATAGAAGCGGGATGCCTCCAGCAACGTGGCACCTCGTTCGCGAAAGCCAACAGCAAGGGGCTGCACCCAAAACCTAAATCTCTTCGGAGTCGGGCAGGGCTAAGATTGTTCTGGAGGGCCACAGCAGCACAGACTGAAAACATGTTTAGCTCCAGCTTCTAGTGAATGTTTCAATGTCACTCTCTGGGTAAAAAATCTCGTGCTGGGGGGACGACAATGCGAGAGCATGGTGTGCCAAAACTCGGCGCTGCCATGCTGTAGTTGAAGAGCCAATTCCTTGCTCTGGGGCAGCTCGTGCTCGCAGCTTGGCTGGTTGTTTCCGTGCAGTGTGATCTTAACACGTACAGGCATCATCAACACATGGCACACACCCTGTGACATGCGAAGCCCTGCATGTTGGAACAATGCCATAAGGCGTACATGTCGGCGTCGCGTTCAAGCCAACTGCAACAACATCTTGAGGCGTCCTGCTGAGCTTACTCTGCCATGTACTTTGATTCCTGGATGAGGTTTTATACTACAATATACCCGCCAGCCTATTTCAAAGATCAAGACCCCTATACGAATAATCTCCTATAGTACCTTCATTGACCCCTTACAGGAACCTAAGGGTACCGCTGTTCGAATCAAGACCCCTATGTGAATCCCAAGACTTGTTGGCCGAAGTGTCGACCGACCTTCCCGTGGGAAATCTGGGTCTGCTCGGGTCCATACTTCGGGTTCCCTTCTGTGGAGCTTAAAAGGCCTTAACAATTAGAATAGGGCTTTGGGGGTTTTGGTACAGTAAAAGTACAATAGGGAATCCAAAGGAATAGTACTGGTAATGATTTGTAGGCTCCTGTGCTATCTACTACATGAGCCAAAAGCCCCGAAACCCATGTCGAAAGCCCTGGGCCTTATTAGACGAAGGTCCCTCAACTTTTCATGAAGCGTGTTGGGTTCATGTCTCTTGCAACCTTCTCTGCTGCTAATTGGAGGTTCATGGGTAGTTATAAGTAGGGTTATAAGTAGGGTAACTATAGTTATAACCCATATTAGGGGACTTATAACCCCACATATAACTACCCATGAACCTCCAAGTAGCCGCAAGGAGCAGGATGGCGGGAGGGTTTGCATGATCTTGGGCCCCACGAATGTGCTGCAAGCCAAGCCTAGAGCAACAACAATGCAAGTGAGGAAGGCTACGGCAAAACCCGCCATTTAACATTTAGGACGGCATCTTTCCCTAAACCATGCTGAAAAACCCTCCGGTAGCAAGAGTCGAGCACGACGACGACAGCTGAAGGCATCAGCCTCGGGCGCTGAAGGGACTCGAGGCCCCGAGGGTCCCTTTGCAAGAGATCTGTGTAATTTGGGATACGATCACTATCTAGGAACATGAAATAGAGGTTCTATATTCGGATCTACTGATGCTTCCTGGTCATACTCCAAGGAAAGAGGGACGATGCCAGCAACGGCTTCAGTTCAGATACTATCGGGGCCTTACTTGCAAAGCCAAGACTGGATCGGGGACCCCTGAAGCTCGGCAGACACAGGTAGCGCGCTTGCAGATGAGACTGGGGGATGTTTGGCTTCGCTGCGGATGTTCCCAAACCCCTAGACCCTTTTTGCATCCGGGCTTGTGACGTCTAAACCCTAAACCTTAAATGGCACAACATGACATTTCGGACCAGGGGGCAATGATTGAAGCCGGAGGCAGTGTCGGAAGAGAGGCTCCCAAAGCTGAGGGTCGGGAGGAAGCCCTGCAGTCAAAAATGACATCTTTAGCGGTTTAGGGTTTAGGAGTTTAGGGTTTAGGGTTTAGGGTTTAGGGCTCAAGGATTAGAAAGGCATGGTGCTTGAAAGAGTTTTTTCGAAGTGGTTTCAGTCTCCTGTGCCGGCTTGGTGGCTTAAGGCTTATAGGCGTTTCGGCAGTGCGGGGAGCTGAGGGCTATGAAGCACCTGCTGCTGCTCCTATGGCTCTGAAATTTTGAGAGCAGTTCCTGCTTTGGAGTTTTCGCTCAAAATGAGCAGCGCTCTTCACTATCATCATTTTTGTTATCATACTTGGCGGTGTCATGCCATAATATGCCACGTGTCATGGTTCGTGTTTTCATTGTAGTACAACCAATTACCTGTGAAGTGTCAGGTGTTCAACAAGCAGCAGGTGCCGCATGGGGCCGCGAGCTACGGTTCCGTACATGAACCAGTAAGTAAGATGACTAAGCCTGTGTCTCTCCCTCCGCAGTTGCCAATCTTGGTTCCTCTCATGTTCTTGCGTATCCAAAAACCAGGGCCACTTCTAGGCTTGGACCACAAACCCGCGGCCCCAACACAAAACCCGAAAGGCCCCAGATGCCTTCCATCCGCTTTGCAGCACCCACAGTAAGCACCAGGTCTGTTATCCTCAGTCACTTGGCTGGCGGCTTAATGGTTCCAACTTCGGGTTCCCAGGCTCAGGTAGCAATGGCACTGATGCCTGGATGAACGGGCTTGGACACAATGGAAACGCAAAAGACAGAGAAATTCTTACAGTGAAGGCTTTTCTGATGGTGCTTCTGCGTTGGCTTGTTGGTGTATCTTCACACACTCCTGGCGAATCCTCCTCACAAAAACCAAGCGTGTACCTAAACACGAAGCTCCGATCACGACGGCTTTCGGCAGTGCCCAACCTGAACACACACACACACACCTCTCTCTCTCTCTCTATATATATATATATACATACACGCACACACACACACAATGCATGAACAGCTATCTGTTTGACTTACATATTTACGTGTGTGTTGGATGCGTATGTTATACAGAAAGGCATATACACATATATGTATATATATATATATATATGTGTTGTTGGCACCCGCTCTCGACGAGGTCAGACGAGGATCCCGGAAACACTATGGGTTATACATATATATATATATACGCAGATATATACAAACACACACACACACACATATACATATATATATATATATATATGTGTGTGTGTGTGTGTGTAAGTATATATGTATATGTAAACATACATATGTAGATGGGAACATACATACGAGTGTTTCAACCAGTTGTGAATACATATTGACTAGATAAACGATTAAACATATATATACATGGATATTTTAATATATGCATATAAGAACATGTGTAAACATGCATGTCTGCACGCATACATACATACGTATCAGATTTCTCAAAATTATTCATACCTATATTCATTTATACTTGCATGCATGCACGCATGTATATTTGTAATGTTTGCATTTGTATGTGCGTGTATGTCCATTCGCCTGTAGGTAACACAAAGTATGTCCGTATGTATGCATGTATGTATGTTGTATATACGTAGTGTAGCTAAGTATTATGTACATGTACATAACATCAAGCGTCACCATCTCCTCAGCCACGCGTGGCAGGCTGAATTGCACCACCTGACTCCAGACTCAAATGGAGGGTACCACAGGTTCTCTCCTAGTTCGGGGATGTGCGAGGTATAGAGGGCTCCAGTCAGGGGATGTCACGAGAAGCGGGTGTCAGTTCTTCCGGGAAGGGGTCCTTCTCTCAAGGGATTATGATCCGGGGATGATTTCCGATGGGTCACAACTGCCTTCGAACAAAGATTCGGCAATGGGGTCATGCTGTCTCAGCATGCCGCAGCTCGTCCATTCATGCATTGCTTCCGGCAGGCACCTTGCCTTTATGAAGTCGGAGCTGGAGAAATCAAGGCGGGTGGCCTCGGGTGGCGCGGATGTTTCTCTGTGCATCTGCTGAATAATCCAAGCCGGAAAAGTGATTGCCACGCAGTGGTACCTGCGATGTCTGTCACCAGCTGACTGCATGGATGCGCATGCCTACCTAGCATAGGTACTTGTGGGTACATACAGCACCTACCAGGCCATCCATCCACTGATCCAATCAGGAATGTGCAACGCGCGGGAGCGCGATCGACCAACCTACACCCATACACAGGAAACAGACGCATTCCTGGATGCCCCTACCTGCCTGGTGGCCCACATGTTATTGGTAAGGTGCCCGTGCAAACTAAGACTCATCAACGTAAAACCGACCTGGGAACATCTCCTACTTCAATCCAGATCAAGCCCTCTGCGACCAGTACTTTGTCTTGGCCTGCCGATAGACGCCTTGTTTGAATGAGCGACACAACTATCGATCGAGCCGGCCTGTCAGACATTTTCAAACATTCCTTTCGCGCACGCAGTCTGTTCATGCGTGCGATTGCATGTGGTCCGCACCATGTCTTCCCAAAGCACGTGGTACCACTTCATCCAGTCTTTTGATTTCCATTCCTCTCATCATACGTACAGGTCTCGTTCATTCAGCTAATGTTCGTGTCTTTCTGTCCTTTTCTGACTTCACTCATCATTCCACCTCCTCTCTCGATCTGTCCGCCGCATTTGCTCAGCCACGTCATCCGGTCCCTATGAGATTTATGTTAACAGGACCACCAGCTGGCATGGGCAATTCCTTGCCCATTGCATCACGAACCATCCGCACTGAAACAATACTGGACATCGATTCTGACAAGAGAAGGTTGAATCAACTGCAAAGACAGTGCTGGTCAATCTGCAGGCTGCAGAAACAGCAAACATAGTCTTCGTGTTTGTCGGTAGGGATTTCATTCTCGTTACCGGGGTATGTCTGGCGACACCTCGTCTGATGTTCCATTACCGGTGCGCCTTCTATGTGAACACTGAACCTCAAAGTGCTCAATACAACTGCAACTGCAGCAGTGAAGTGCACGCATGTCACTGTTCTGCCATCCACCTTCTTGCGCAGCCGTCGATCAATACTTCTCGATGCTTACGGCAATCTCTTCTGTTTGAGAAACTCCCAATTGCAAGCTCACAGCGGGAAGTTCGGTACACAGAGAGGCAGTGGTCTCTCAGTCCCGCTGTCTCGCAAAATGGTTGGGAGACCTGTAGTGTGTGAAGCCTTCATGACATCTGGCTCGGGACAGTTCCACACGAGTAACCGTGGACACAGTTTTTGCTTGAAAGCAGACTTAGACCAGCAACCCTCAAGCACTGGACCCATGATGAAAATATTCAAACCAAGAAAGATAGAAGAACCCTTGGAGCGGGGAAAAGGTCAATCGGCCTCATTTGTGCGGGGGTCGGAACCCCAAGCGATAAAGAAATGCCACACCTCATGCCAACCAGCATGTCGCAAAGCCCAACACAGCCTTCTCAAGGAATCCGCATCTAGAAGGCTGCACACCACTCCCGTCGTCGGCGAGACGAACGCCCCTCTGCTGCAGCACCCTCCGAAAAGGCTCAGCCTGATCTGGTCCTATGTAACCCAAACTTCCATGGACAGCCTAGCATTTAAAGTGAGCTTGCAACGACCCCTGAGGAACTTGCCAAGATGTGTAGGAATGCCAAGCCTTCGGGGTTTCTGAATGCTAATTGGCAAGATGCCATCTGCCTGCCCGATGAAAAACAGTGTAGCCATGCGAAAGCTCAAGGCCCACTGACCACCGGAGTCCGCTAGTAATCTCCAGTAACTGTGGATATCTTCGATGCAACCTTAAGTGCGAAAAATTTGACGGCTTTGTCAGGGAATGTTCTGTTTCTACTGCATGTGCTTTGTGCACACTCTGCGGCCTGCCCCTTGGTCAGCAGGCCGAGCCAAGAGAGTAGTCATTTATTGGTCCGTAAGGTCGGGAGATGTGGCTTCTCAACCTTCGAGGTCAATCGATCTGGATCGACATTCAGCTCATGCAGGGGCTCGTTTGGCACCCGCGTCTGTGCCAACCATTCTCTGAGCTTCCATGCCCCCTGGTAGACGCGAGGGGCATACTCGCGCACGAACCTTGGCTCAGGGTTTCACACTGTGCGGCTGACATGGAGATGAGCTGGGATCTTCCCAAACAGGTTGGAAGTACCAGCTGCAGGACTAGAAGTTCGCTGGTGAAGTGACGCTGCATTCAAGCTTGAACACCATGTTTCCGACGAACCCAGGCAGGATTGAGCAACTTGGGGCTGGGAGTATCGGGGCATCTTCCCTTGGGGCATCTTCCCTTGGAGCTCAGCTTCGTCTGATGCTAGCCGAATTCTGACCGCCTTGTGATGGAAGACATGAGCCCGCTAATCTTTATCAAGTCTGTAAAACATTAGGTGTCCAAACTACAAGTATCAAGCTTGGCTCTTCACGCGCCTTCCTGGAGAGAGGCTGGAACAGGCCGGAGGTCTGGCCCCTCTCTTTGTTTCTGGACCGATCTTCCAGATTCAAGATCTCCAAACTGAGTGCGCAAATGACATGGGCCCCGAAGACCGGAAACCATGAACTGCAGCAAGGAGCTGGGCGTCGCCGGCCGGATCCTTTTTGCCACTGAAGCGGGGTAGTTTTCCCACTGCCTGCAATGAGGGTTCAGACTGGGGAAGCTTCCTGAGGTAGGGAGGCAGCCGTTTATGAATTGCCTTCGAAAAGCCTACCCTAAATCCTAAACACTAAACTTTGGCCCTAAACCCTAAACCCTAAACAAGTCTGTTCGGCCCGAAATATCCGACTCCCGGAGCTCCTCTCTGGCTGAACGGCTCAGCCGACACGCCTGTAGAGAGATTGAAACAATCCCTCTGACTTCTGCAGACCCTAAACCCTCGGCCCCGGCCTGAATAATTACCAATCCTATTTTGGGGGGTTCCCTATTATAGTTATAGTATAATGGGCCCCACAACCCGGTTCGAATTATTAAGGCCCATAAGGCCCCTATATCAAATCCTCAGAGGGGAGAGATTTCCGGCGATTGAGGGCCCTCGGCTCGTGCTTGCGACCTACGCTGGCAGTGTACGTCAGGTAGAACTCGTCAAACTCCCTAAGCCCATTGACATAAAAAGCCTTAATGATTACCATAAGATTTCGACAAATCATACTATAACATACTGCAACTATGGTATGGATAAGAAGGAGCCCTACAACCCTAAGGAATAACCCTGGCAAGTTTTCAGGCTTCTAGATTAAGCAGGTTCTGGCATCCCCCACGCGCCACTATTGGAAGTCGATCGATTTTTCTTCGGGGGGGGAGTGGACGGCATCCAACAAGACCGTGTGCATTTCAAGAAACACGTCCTGTGCCTCGATTGCTGCACCACCATCGAAATCCACGTACGCAACATGCAGGCATAACTTTTCCGGTGGCCAGCCATAGCTCTCTCCTGAAAACATGCGGAATAGTGAGGATGAGCTTGCCCTCACTCGGATTCTCACCATCAACACCAAACTCATTCATCACCACCAGAATCCTCATCAAACTCAGCCGCACACCACTACCCACACTATCCCCACCACCGCCGGGCAATCTTCGGGATCGTCGGCCATGAGACACTAGGTTACCACGATGCCCTGCAACCTGACCTGCCCGAGAACGCAAACAAGTCCTCCCTACCATGTTCGGGCGTTCGGATGAGGACCATGCTTTCATCATACGGCGAGACAGCAAACATCCAGGGTCTCACTCTCATCCCTTGATGCCCGACATGCCAGAATCTAGCGCAGAGAATCATGCATGAATACACCCCAATACCTAGTCTAGAGCCTATGCCCGGCATCCAAAGCTTACCAGGGAGCCAGGAAGAGTGGCCACGCCCGTCTCGTCGAGCAAACGCTGCGCGAGCTGCCCGGATGTGGTGATCCCCTGTCTGTTCGGAACAAAGACCCCGAGCCCCTGATGCAGCCCGACAGCTTCTGGGTGGTTGCTGCTTGCGAAAAATCCGCCCCTTAAAACTTAGCCCCGAGCTGCCTGCTGCATCGTTCTTACTCCATGAAAAGTCAAGGGTGGTGTGAGCCGATCTATTTGGAAGCATGCCACGGGCCACGGCCATGAAATGCTGTTCCCTCTTCCTCCGGAGGCTTGAAGGCCTTTCACACCTTGAGTTACCACTTCAAAGCGACACGCTGGTTCACTCAGACGTGCCGGCACGGCTTCGGGCCTTTAGAATGCAGCATACTGAGTTGCGAAACCATGAGGCCATGTGCCACCCTGCACTGAGCTCTACACCGCAACACCTAGCAGCCCCAAAAAACCCAACTGCGGGCAGAGAACCAAAGCCTGAACATTGAGTTCAGCTCGTGCCTGGGTGTGTGACTAGATATATGTGTGTATGCCTATATATATATATATACATATTTGTATGTATGTATGTATGTATGTATGTATGTATGTATGTATGTATGTATGTAGGTATGTATGTGTGTATGTATGTCCGTATGTATGTATGTATGTATGTATGTATGTATGTATGTATGTATGTGTGTATATGTGTGTACATGTATGTAAGTATGTATGTACGTTTGTATGTGTGTATGTGTGTATGTGTTTATGTATATATATATATACACATATGACATGTCCGTATAAATCTAAGTCACTAAACACATGAACATACATACATAGGTATATATATATATATGTGTGTGTCTTTATGCATGTGTATGTATGTAGGTCTGTCTGTCTGTCTGTCTGTATAAACACAAATGTATATATATATATATGCAAATCATACAAATATGAATATACCATATTTAGAACTCCCAATTCTGCATAAGAGCGGAAACAAAACGTGGAGTCGCCACAACCAAGCCTTGCGCACAAAGCTCTCGCGCCGATTCCTTAATTTGACAACTGGTGTGTTGGCTTGCTGTTGGTTGTCTTCGTTGTTCTTTTTGTAAGTGTGTGTTTGTGTGTGTGTGTGTGCAAGTGCGTGCGTGCGGCGCATGTCTGTGTATGTGGGGTGAGGTGCCGGTATACTTCTGTCTGTCCATCGTCCTTGATCTTTCCATCTACATTCTCAGTACTTGTCAGAGGGAGCCTTTGCAGTCGCAACTTAAGCCCAGTTCAGACATGCGAGTGTCGGCTCGCTGCCAGAGCGTTTAGTGAACAAGTCCAACCACTGCCTTAGTGTAGAACCCGTTGTTGCTTCCTAGACCAACCAACTCCCATACATTGGTGAATCCTGGTTGACAAGACTAATGCCTTATGACCATAGTTGTCGAAACACTCCGCATGGCCGGTTTCAGCTGCAAGTCCGAACAGATCTCAATGCTGTCCAAGATTCCCAGACTCAGCATCGATCCATGCATAGAAACCGCCAGTGGGCACAATCATGTCACAGGGAGAACCTGGCGTGTTTCTCGTACTTCCCCTCTCTGTCTACTCCAGAGAATAGTTATGCGGAGGCGGGCAAAGCTGATTGGAAACTAAAAAGGTGTGGGGTGTTTCTGCTGCTGCCGGGCCTCCACGCAGCACCTCGGCAAAAGTTTCTCCGATTGCGCCCAGAATGCTCCGAGATGCATTGAGGTAATGGCACATGTATTGACCGTGAAGAGTGTCGCGGTGGGCAGCGAAAGCAGGAACAGCACCATACTGAATGGGAGCCGCCGCACATGAGTGAGTCTCGGACGCATACACGGCCATGGCATTCAAGAGCCAACGTAGGTTGCTGGGAAATACAAAGGCACCAAGACGCCATCCACCTGCTCCTGCCCACTTCGAAATACCAGTCAAAGTTATGGTGCCTTCAGGATAGTGCTTGGCAAAGGGCTCATGATTGCCATCGAACCTTACGCGGAGAGTGACTTCTGGCTTTGATGCTTGCAGAGTCGGTCTCTACTCTGCCACCTTATAGGACAAACTACGAGTTTCATGTAGGGGCCTTAATACTAAGAATAGGGTTTTGGGGTATATTATACTTTAATCATGAATCAGAACCCCCCAAAATAGTATAGGTAATTATCTAGGCCCCTGTATTAAGGCCCAGCAGCTGCTGGTAATCGTAGATCTCATCTGCCAGGACAAGCAGGCGATGTGCTCGAGCGACGGCGGCCAACTCGACAACAGTCTGGGCCGTCACAGCTGTGCCGGTCGGATTGCACCTTAGGTGGTCGGGGCACAGTGTGGGCAGGTATCGACCACAGCTTCATACGGTATGGCAGACAACATGCAAGAAAGCAAAGTATGGGGGTTTCCGAAAATAGGGGACCCTAATATAGTACCCTAAATAATAGGACCCTTATTATAAGGACCCCAAAATAAGGTACCCCTTATTTTCGAAAACTCCCATATTTCTCTAAGGCCAGGCCAGGCGCGGGTTGTTGAAAATGAAGAGGCGGTTCGGCGAGTCTGAATCGCCACGACGGCATGCCTCGTCGAGATCTTTCGGATCCATTTTCCACTGCTTCTCCGCGGATGTCTCGACCCAGAAGACTCTGCGGCCAAGAAGCTCGGCCTGTGGAGCATAACTTACCCACGCCGGCCGTGGAAGTAGGAGATCACACTGCAAGACGGCTTGCAGCAGGTAAATCAGCTGCTTTGACCCGGGTCCAACCAGGACGTCCTCGGCCGTGACGTCTGGGACGCCCTTGTGAAACCTCGCCTGCCACGCACTCAAAACGCAGGACAGTCCTCGACGAACAGCACTCGATGCAAATCTTTTTGGCTACACCACTACCTGCACATGTTTTCTTTGCTTCTTGGCAAGACATGGCAAGACTATAACGCCTGCTTGCACTTGGCTGCGACATGAAAGCTGCCTCCATGCCGCATGTGAACCTACCTGTGCTCAGCAATCCAAACCAGTAAGGTGGAACGAGATCTGACACATGACAAGCCGAAGCACCCAGTCGGCAATCGTCTCACGCAACAAAGGAAGGCCGCGCACCGGCAGGTAATCCTGATATGCAAGAGGCCCGCAATCCAACAAACAACACATTCTCCGCAGCTGTTGAATGAAACACGGCAGCCAGCTTACGGAAGACTGAGCTCTCGTTGCCCCAGCTGAAACACGCGGCAATGAACTCGTGCTTTGGACCGCCGTCCTTGACATGCGCATGCGCCTGGCATTCTTGCACCTCATTGCACCAAGGCCGAGGGTTCCCAACCCCCACTTTGAGGTTCATGGGTAGTTATAAGTAGGGTTATAAGTAGGGTAACTATGATTATAACCCAATATTAGGGGACTTATAACCCCACTTATAACTACCCATGAACCTCCAAGCAGGGAGACTTGAAGAGAAGCCTTGGAAACACCGCCTCTCCTCCCCGACTGGAACGAAACAACGGAATCCAAAACGGTGTGCAGCATTGAGCAGTACCAGTGACGGATGAAGCGAACACAGGACCCGACTTGCGAGGTCAAGGAACCAAAGCCACGACACCTAGACACCCAAAGCTGAGTTGACATCCCTACTTGGAGGTTCATGGGTCGTTTTAAGTGGGGTTATAAGTCCCCTAATATGGGTTATAAGTACAGTTACCCTATACTCATAACCCTACTTATAACTACCCACGAACCTCCAAGTAAACCCTAAACCCCTGCTGACCTAGAGCAGCAACGCCACACCGTGGATACGACCGGAGCCACAGTCCCTAGGGCTCCGGCTGCCCAGCAAAACTGGGTTACCGGTCCCATAGAATCAGAATGTGGCTAGTCACCTGCTATTGGGTTTAGGGTTTGGGATGGTTTCGGGGTCCCATAGACCCAGAAGATGGTTAGTAAGCTGCTAATTAGGTAACTCATGCCATAGGGTATCTCATCTCTAGATCTGGCTAGCACATTACAGCAAGCGGCAGAGCCAACAGCCCAAAGAACGATTCAGGAAACGTGAGACTCAGAATGGCCGTTCGCAAGCCACTCGGCTAGTACATGTAGTGGTCACATGTAGAAATCATGTCACAGAGGTGTTTCACCAAGTAGTTGTGCCGCAGTGAGTACACCTTAAAACCCTCTCAACCCATGCTTTAGGTGAGGAGCCATAGGCTCCGGTACAGGGAAGGGGCTCTGACCAAAGCCAAGGGCGAAGACCTCTTCGCCTGCATCGCGCTTCCTCCTGGCACATTCCTCGGTCTTGCAACGACACCCTCTGAACCCGGAGCCCAAACCTTGAGAATCCCTGGCAGCTCCCTGAACCTTGCAGATGTGAGGGCCCTTTGGCGAGGTGAGGCTCCTTCCAAGGCTCCTTCCCCTACCTTTTAAATCTAGGTGTTATATGACATAGTTTTGATAGAATATGACACAACATATTACAACACAACACAATAAAATACAATGTAACATATTGGAACATAACATAGCATGACAAATACACATTCTAACAAAATATATAATATAGAACAGTATCGTACAGTGCAGTACAGTATAGTGCAGTATTTAGTAGTGTATTGCCTTGTAAAGTAAAACAAAATTAACTTTGATGCCAGAGAACAGAACATAATTATAATATAGGAAAATGAAAAATTACCAGGGATCCCGGCAGCAAGGCTCCCACCATTTAGGTAGATATTGAAGCTCTGCCCAGGACAACCGCTAAGTTCAGGCAAGTGCATGATCATGCTTACAACCACAATGCGACCCTAAATGCCTGCACAGGAAACAAGCACCTGTTGAATTTCTGTCAAATCGAAGGTGCAGAGATGGACAGTGTTGCGCTGACTTTGCGATTCGCCACCTCAAGAGTGCTGAGATCGGCCCTTGAGTTCGATGCTTCTTTCGCTTGAAGCTGATGTAGGGACCTAATTAATTACCTATTCTATTTTGGGGGTTCCTTATTATCATTATATTGTAATGGGCCCCCAAACTCTATTCTAATTATTAAGGCCCCTATATTAGAGCTGACATGCTGATGTCCCAGAAGAGGTTCGTTTGACCCCCTGCTGCACGTTTGTCGGGCTGCTCTGAACACTTTACTAAGATGCAGACACCTTCACACTTTACTATATGTAGAAGGTCTTGCTTCGATTGTCCGGCATGAGTTCGCTGACAAACGAGCCTCCGGAACCAGTGCAGCAGGCGTCAGCGGCGACATGGCGTGTCACAAGATTTCCCAATCACAATTTGGCAAAGCTGGTAATGCAGTGGCCACAGTAAGTCATGTGAGCGCTGAGGACGATCTGTCTCTCTGAAGCTTTGGGTGGTAATTGCAACGACAAGCTGTCAGTGTTACTACCTTGGCACGCATCTGGAATGGCACCTTGAGCAGGTTGGTTCCAGTGCCCATCCCTGCATTGCATACGGCCCACCCAGCCCGGAACATGCACGGGGCTAAGGTCTCGGAACTGGGGTACCTGTATACATGTTTGATAATGTTGAATACTGTAGTTTTGAAATGCCCCGGTCTACGTTGAACTGGACCGGGGGAAATTTGAAAAAATATCTGTGTCAATCACACTTAGTAGGAAAATCTCTACGAACTCCCTGCATAGCCGAACCTGAAAGTCTCAAGCGATCGGCGGCTGACACATCCTACTGGCGAGGCACGAAAGCATGCATGATGCTGCTGAGGCTTTGGGCGTCCACCACCTCCGAACAAAGGATCGAACGGTGTGGCTTCTTTCGGGGTTTTGGGGCTCATTGGGCGTAGGGTTCGCAACTTGCCAAACAACCCAAGATCGTGCCATGCTCTGGGACTCCTCCAGGCAAATGAAAAGCAAAACCCTTTTCAATATGAAGAAATCTAAACCTTACGGTTGGCAACGACGTCAGCCTTATGTAGGACGCATTAGTAAGACGGCTGCAAACAGATGACATCATAATTCAGGGCCCCAACTTAAAGAGCAGCGCGACGATGAATTTCCCGCTGCTGCGTTGCTGCAGAAGATTCAAAAGTCTAATATGGGGGCCTCGACTTATCTGACCCGTAGGTTACGCCAGTCGATGTAGATGATGTAGGAAGATAGAGCACCAGACAGCCCAAACCTTTAAATCGCTGCCGCAAGCCGCGAAGCTTGAATACGGGTCGGGGAGACGCTACATGCCGAACGGCTGCTCCGAAAGTCATAACGGTTCAAACCCTAAACCTTTAGGGCTAGGGTTTTAAAACCGTAAACCGTACCCTGAAAACACTGCCTGTTGAGAGGCTTGGCAACGTTGCCACAGTTGCGACGAAAGCTCTTGGAGAAGTGCCTGCCGAGCTTAGTTCGCAAATTTGCATTTCTATCAGGATATACTATGAACGCCCCTGCATGGCCCCTCAGGAACTCCAGGACTTTAAGATACTGTTGTTCATGTAGGGTTTAGGGTTTAGGGTTGTTCATGTCAGCTCATGCTGTACCTGTAAACCCTAAACCCTAAACCCTAAACCCCTAAACCCTAAACCCCTAAACCCTAAACCCCTAAACCCTAAACCCTAAACCCTAAATCCCTAAACCCCTAAACCCCTAAACCCTAAAACCCGGCTTCTGTGCACAGGCCGAAATTGACAGACTCGGCTCGACGGCCTCGTCTCGCCGCAAGAACCGGCCATGGGCCTCCCATGTTTGCTTGGATGGTTTCGGGGTTTAGGGTTTAGGGGTTTAGGGTTTAGGGTTGAGGGTTTAGAGTTTACCTATAGTCTCCATTGTAGTTCCTTTTTTGGTTTAACCAAGTATATATTAAGGATTTTATAAGGTATCCCCCCAAAAGGAACTACAATGGAGACTACAGGTACACTCTCACAACTCGGACAAGCCAGGCGAGGATCCATGTTCGACAGTCGGCGTGAAAAGCAGTGGAAATCAGGATGGTTTCGGGGTTTAGGGATTAAGGTTTAGGGTTCGACTGAGGGTGCGAGAACCTACCTGTCGTCTCCATTGTAATTCCTTTTTGGGGATACCTTATAAAATCCTTAATGTATGATTGGTTAAACCAATAAAGTAACTACAATAGACTATAGGTAGGGCTTGACTGAAGGTGCGAGAACTTTAACCCCAAACCCTAATCGGTGGCTCCCGGTCTGGTGGGGTCCCGAAGTCCGTGGCTCCCCGTGAGCTGAGTGCCTGTCCTTTTTGTCCATCCTGGTCCCGACATACTGTTGATGATATCAATACTGCATTACCTTAAGGGCCC